CTTCGCAAACTGTCAAAATTTCGTGTCGATAAGACTCTCATGACCCTTTTTTATAAATCATTCATTGAGTCTGTTTTAACATTTTCATTAATTTGCTGGTATGGTAGTCTCACTGTCAAGGCCCAAACTGCTCTTTCCAATATAGTGAAGGTCAGTAGTAAAATTACAGGAAAAATTATAAAATTACAGGTAGTTAGGAAGGCCAACGTAGTTATCTCTGATAGCTCCCACCCCCTTCATTCGTCCCGAGAGCCATCATGTTCATTAATTCAGTCCGTAGGAGCAGACAGACTATAACTATTAAATAGTGATGGGGTTATTATTATTATCATATGTATAGTATTGCTTGATTTTGATGATGTTGTTGTTGTTGGAATGGGGGATGGTTATGGAAATGTTGCTATATTATGAATTGTTAGATGTTATATTAAAAATACTCTGTTTTTTATACTCAGGGCTTGTTTCATTAAGTGTTTTTTAGTGTGCATTTATGACAGTTCTGTGCTTATCTTGCGGCAAAACCAATTGCCCTATGGGGACAAATAAAGTCTAAAGTCTAGAGACTCCATTTTTGCTCTCAGGTCTAAGTCTCATGGTCCTCTATCAGAATCCAGAGTTTTGAGAAGATTGGAGAAACTTAATTTCTCGCCCAGAAAAAAAACGACAGGGGTACCCCCTTTTAGTTTTTTCGGGTCGAAATTTTGAGTGTCTCTGATCTTCTTGAAACTCTGGATTCTGATAGAGGGCCATGAGACTTAGACCTGAGTGCAAAAATGGAGTCTCTAGACCCTTCCTGAGCTGAGATATTGAGATCCCACGTAGCATTTATCCCATTATAAAAATAGTGGGTTATTGGACAAATAGTGGGTTTGTGGACATGTGGTTTTTAAGCTTAGCTTTCAAAATTTGGGGATGAAAACTATTTTACTGCACTCAGGGAGCCCCCCTGAGTCTGTGGCACCAAGGGCCGTCCCGAAATTCCACCGTCTGCGAACACACTATGTCGACTTTTATACACTTTTAGATTTTTCGTGTCGAAATTTTGAGTTTCTCTGATCTTCTTCAAATTCTGGATTCTGATAGAGGGCCATGAGACTTAGACCTGAGTGCAAAAATTGAGTGTCTAGACCCTTCCAGAGCTGAGATATTGAGATCCCACATAGCATTTATGCCATTATAAAAATAGTAGGTTCATGGACGGTGGAATTTTGGGACGGCGCTTGGTGTATCGTTATGTATCGTTACTGTGATATATATTTTTTTTATAAAAGAAATTTCAATCAGCATTACTGAAAATGTGACTTCAGTAACAGGCTTTCAAACCTACTGTCCATTCTAATGGACAGACACATTTAAAAAAAAATCCTGATTTAAAACGTGCAATTCTACAGTCAATTTTTAACTTTAATTAATAAGTTCAATCTTTCTATTTTACATACAAACTATGAAATACTGGCAAAAATATATACAAAATGTAAATACACCTTAGAAGATGTTGCTTGCTTCTGTGTTTGGAGTGAAGTGCTGCCATGCTTCTCTTCAATGTAGAGTTTTTTTTTTACTATACTGTATGCAGAGCTTTACTGGCATTTGATTGGATGACAAACGTCCAATCTCATGGACTGCAGGCTTTAAAATAGGTGAAATGCTCCAGAAGTTAAAAAAGGGGGGCTGACATGTGATGTCCATTGTAATGGACACAGGGTCTGAATGGGTTAACAAATGACTCTTTTCACTACATATTACATATATTAGTTTTCCTGAGATCTGTACTATGTATCGCTAATAAATTAGTGTGTGTGTGATTTTATTCTACAAAATTAAAAACAATACTTTAGAAAGTGTCGATGCAAAAAGTTAAACATTATTAACAGTAACTAAGAATGAATCCGGGATGTTCTTCATTTCTCAGTGTGTTGAACTCGAGTCTGTTTAAGTCAAGAGACTGAAATGTTGATTGTGTGTGAAAGTGTGTATTTCAGTGTGACTCTCAGTCCTGCAGTTTCATGTTATTGAGGATCAGCTCGTGTGTTCAATCATTTACAGCTCAATCAGCTGAACTCACAGCAGCAGAAAGAGGCTGAACACTTCAAATATACTTTACATTGTGATTCATGTGTGAGAGTCAAATATGATCTTACCCCAGTTCCTCCAGTTTACAGTGAGGATTCTGTAGTACATCAGACAGCAGATTCACTGATTCTCCTATTTTATTCCCAGACAGACTCAGTACTCTCAGGTGTTCAGGGTTTGATATCAGAGCTGAAGTCAGAGCAGCAAAACCTTCATCTGTGACGCCACAATCCTTCAACCTGTAGAGAGATGAAAATAGCATCATTTACACACTATCAAAGGGCTTTCCAAAAAAATGTTAATTCCAATATTTTTTAACAATGTCAAATTATTATCCACGGTTCATGGTAAAATGTTTTTATTAACATGTTTTTTAAACAGAGAGAAATGAACGCAATAGTCCATCTCTTGAATGCAATGGCCAATCAGAGGTGTTTCATTTAGTCAGAATCCACTCAGTTTTGTTTTTCTTGCTGCTGAGAGGACCGTTAAAACTGTTAAAGGTACTTATTATACCTTTAACAGTGAACTGATTGTTCTGATTGATACTTACAGAACTGATCTGGATTCTTTAATCACAGGAAGCAGCTTCTGAAGAACCTTTAGTTTTTCTGTTTTATTTTCTCTTCCAACAAAATCATTAATATTAAACTCACCCAGCTTCTCCTCTGATGTCAACAACACAAAGACTACAGCTGACCAATGAGATGAAGAGAGTTCGGTTTCCTTTATTCTTCCAGATTTCAGATACTGTTGTATTTCCTCCACTAGTGAACGATCACCCAGTTCATTCAGACAGTGGAAGAGATTGATGTATTTCTCTGGAGAGTCAATGGTCCTGATCTTCTTCTTGATGTACTTAACTGTTTCCTCATTACTGTCAGATCTGCGTTTCTATTTCATTAGTCTTTGAAGGAGAATCTGATTAGACTCCAGATTAGAAGGTCCAGATGTCCATTTTTACTCTTTAGAGCCTCATCCACAGCTCTCTGATGCAGAGCAGATAATGAAACATGTATAGACATTAGTTGAAACCAGTCCTTAACTTTAGACCGCAAACTCTGTTTAGTGATTGAGTCAAACACATTTGTGTTGTTGATTGTGAAGGAGAGATGCGCATATAGAGCCGCTAGATGTTCCTGAACGCTCAGATGAACAAAGCAGAAGACTTTCCCCTGATACCAGCCAAACTCCTCTCTGAAGATCTGAGTGCACAATCCTGAGTACACTGATGCTTCTGTCACATAAATGCCACACTCTCTAAGGTCTTCCTCATAAAAGATCACATTGCCTTTCACAAGCTGCTGAAAAGCCAGTTTCCCCAGTTTGAGGACCATCATGTCTTCATCTGTCACATTCTTCTCGCGGTGTCACGTGGCTAGTATGCATCGACCTGCCTACAACTACCCTCATTGGCTCCGTCATCTTTCACTCATTTGTGATCGTAGTTTGTCTCTGGTCAGTAGGCTACCTCAAACTGTGGTCAGTACATGGAATGATGATAAGCACAATTATTTTATGTGCCTTTAATTCACGTAAAATGTATGAATGTAGTGGTGTGAAAAGTCGGATATTTGGCCTATGCTGTGGATGAAATGCAGTGAAAATAACAAGAAAGATATATTTGTCATTCCATAGTTATTTGGTTCTCATTTAACTGTATAATCTGTCATTAAGATTTGGCCGTTCTGCGTAACAAATATTTAACCAGTGAGATACAATAAAAGACCAGGGATAACACACTGTAGTTCATGAAAATTGCCACCAGGTGGGGACAAAATCCAACTTTTCAAGATCCATCACTGCAACATTTTTTGCGGACTAAAGGTTAAAATATTTCGACATTTAACAAACTACGACAACTGCATTTGATTCTGCGTGGCTCAAAGGGCTATATTATAAAACTCTACAATACGGCATAGAAATGTATAGGCCTAACACAATTAATTCCATACAAAGACAGAAAAAATGTGGTTTAGTTTAGTTTCTTATGTAAATCACATTTCTTCGGTCCCAAGTGCAACTCAAAGTGCTGTATGAAACAATCAGGAAAACAGTCAGATGCTAGAGGCTGCAGTCTTTAGCCTCCTTGTTAGAGCTTCTGACTCCCATGCCAGAAACCCGGGTTCGAGGCCCAGAGGGTCGAGTAGGACCCGAGAGGAGGGGTTACACAAGATGTCTGTAAAAAATCACTTCATCTGGAAAGCATCTGCTTAACATCTGATGGATATCTTTAAGATCTCAGTTTAACATACATTCTAAATCATTACATCTTAAAGACATGTTCTAAACGTCTATTTGACATCTGACAAGAAACTCCCTTTAGACGTATTGCAGATGATCAAACACTCTAAAAAAATACATCTTCCAGATGTAAACACACACATCAAATAGACATCTCTGTGATGCATGTGTATCAGGGTAACCTCCGGCTATCAAAAAGGGATAGCGGTCCCTGAAGCAAGATGTTTAAAATGATTAATATGGCATTGTAGTCAATATCTGACAGGTAAACTTTGAAGAGATGTTAAAATCAGAGTGATTATGTCCCTCTTTCTTATAGGCCTATTACCGGTCAATATCAGGGTCTTATGTTGCATTTTGAACCAGCAGATTCACTAATGACTGAGAGAGTCCTAAATACAGGACATTACAACAGTCCAGTCTAAATAATATAAAAGCATAGATGATCGTCTCCTGATCTCTAGATGAGAAAATATCTTAGCTTTTAACCTTTGGTAGTCAAAATGTGGAGATTTAGGTGGAAACTTTAACAGCTGGTCATATTCCAAAATAGATCATGTAAGGAACTTAGCTATAGGAAATATTGATAATCAATAATAACTTGTTATGATTAATTATTAATATTTGGGTCAGTTAATTGGGTTAACTTGACATGGCTAATAATATTACAATCAGATAATCAGTTCGTCCAACAAACTCTTTTGTTTATTAATTTATTCTAAGAAAAGGGTATCTTTCACGGCCACAGAAGAATAATTATTTCTTAGCATGTAGCAGATAAAGATCATAAAAGAGACTTTGAATCAGAACCAAATACATAAAGTGCAAAAGTTTTATCATAAACATGAATAAATCATGATAATAAACTAAACAAACAGTTGTCCTTGGCACCCAGGAGAAGTGAGGAAGTCAGAAGAGTAGGTGATTGGAGTCGTTGGTTGGAGTCCTGGTTCCAAACTCCTGAGATTGTGCTTGTTTCTTTGTGAGAGAGTCTTCTCTCTCCTGCATGAGCTCATATCTGGTTGGATCAAGGCCTGCTGGGCCCCCGTGGAGAGGGAAGGGGTTCCCCAGTATCACCAGAAACAGTGTTTGCAGCTGGATGAAAAACTAAGAGAGAGAGGTCACATGTGGACTGTCTCTTATAAAGCCTGAGAAAGATCCAACCCCTAAGGTTTGACTGGACCAATAAGCATGGTGAAATGTCCGAGTGGGTTGCTCTAGTAAATTTACGAGTCTTTGTCCCAAGCGTGGTCATACCTTCAATAATGCTCAGATAGATATAACACATCCACACTGCATTCTAGAAGAAGGTGATGTCCATCAAAGTGTGACTCATTAAATGAGGATTAATTAGGTAGGAGGCATGATACAGGTGAAGTTTACATTGATTGTTAGTTGGTTGTATACCAAGTTACATACCATAATATGTACACAATAGTACACAAGACAGTAAATCATTTTCACAATGCTATGAAGCATGTTCATTTATAGATCAGTTAGTCTATGATTAATGCAGCACAGTCTGTTTTAAAGATGGTTCCTGTCTTCCCATTGTCTCTCTCTCGTACATGCACTCTCTTCCAAAGGAATGTGGTCGTAAAACCTCCTTATCAGCCCTGTCACATGACACTGTTTCAGTCCTGGTGTTCAGTTCCTTTGGGATGTTAGTTTTGGAGTTTCATAAACCTTTGTATATAATGAATAATGTCGGAAGGGTCCAGACCCTACTATAAATACTAATGAATATTTTACAGAAATAAATGTTCAGTGAAATTATTTGCAGAATCTTTGTCTCCTTCTGCTGGTAGAAAAATGTACAACATTGATCTTTTCTGTAGTCTCAGATTTTTTAAGCAATTCAAAGCTGCTATTTTTCAGCACTCATTTTCATGAGCCATTACTATAAAACAAGAGACTGGTGCGAAGTCATACACACACGTCAGTGTGATCACTGTGTGTCTCTGTGTCTTCAGTCTCTGTAGCGGCTCCTTATTCACCATCAGCTGATCCTGAGGAAACTGGACTGACGTCTAAACACTAAAAGTCCTACAATAAAACACACAGTCAGACACATACTGTATGAGTTTGAGATATTACTGCTGCCACATCACATCTGGAGATCATGTATATTCATTTTACAGCCATGGATATTAATGAAAAAACTAATAGATTAATAACAGTAAATGACAACTCTCTCACTCACATACAATCCGATCGAGAGGACATATAAACACTTGGGGCCCTATCTTGCACCCGGCGCACATGACTTTATACACAAACGCATGTATCATTCCTATTTTGCACGCGCGCAAAGCGGGATTTTGCCCTCGACAAACGCACGTCGGTAAACTAGGAAATGAACTTGCGCTCCCTGGGCGGATTGGCGCAAAAAGGAGGCGTGTTTCGGCGCAACATTCCCTGGTGCTATTTTACACTACAGAAAACAATTCCGCCACTGACCAGAAAAAACCTGGTCTAAAGTAGGTGGCGCGTTGTGCGTTGATCATAATGCTATTTTAAGCGCGCATGCTTGGCCATAGGCCTAATGTAGCGGGTGCACAGCGCACATACACTTTGATTCTCTCATCAACACAGATGCAACAGTTTTTATTTTTGCAAATCATATATTATAACAAGGAAAAATATTAAAACATGAGGGAAATCTTTGTGCTTTACGTGAAGATGAATAAAACCTTATTACCCATTTTTTAATTGTAGTACTAAAGGATCAGACCTGTTTGCCCAATAGTGGCAAGAAACATACGTATATAATGTTTAACTGACGCTGATGTGCGAGAGTTTCTCCCATCCCCATACAACGTCACTTCTGTCTTTCACTGCCCTGACAAGAACGTCGGTCTCATCGGCTGTGAACGCTTCTGGTGCGCGCCTGGTGAACCCGCCGTTATAATAACAATCCGTCATGCAACTTGCGCACCTGTTCTTAAAGGGTATGTTGGATGTATGTTGGCGCTCTGATTGGTTTATTTCACGTTACGCCCAAACCACACCTATGAATAATGAAGCTACTTCAGACCAACCCCTTTTAGATTTGCACCAGGCGCATGAGGCATTTATCCCACCGGGAAAATAGCAACAGCGCCGGGACCCGCCCATAAAGTTACTTGCGCTTTGCGCTTTGACACTTGCATTTCAGATTGTTAAAATAGGGGCCTTGATCAGATTGAAGACTAAAACTGGAAAGTGCTGTGTGTGTGCGTAATGACGTATGATGCGTAAGAGCTGTTGTAAAATGTTGAATGTGTCATGAATGACCAACACAATCTCAAGGCTATTCGTACATATTCGTGTCATTCAAAAATTTTCCTTCAATTTTATAATCTGTGGAGTGGAGCAGGACATCGTCCCACCGGTCCTTCTTTCATACTCTTATCCACAGGCTGTTTTGTACGGAAGCCCTAAACCGCAACCTAAAAAGAAGAAAAAATCTGGAAAAAAAAATCTGGAAAAAAAAAAAAAAAAAAATGTAGCATTTCGAGATTAAAGTCAAAACATTTCGAGATTAAAGTCAAAACATTTCGAGATTAAAGTCGAAACATTTCGAGATTAAAGTCGAAACATTTTGAGAGACGAGAGTACAAGAATACAGTCTACCGTAGAAGCTGTGTGTGTGCTTGCCATTGTCTCACATTGCCGCACACACAGGCATTCATAATGGCCAATAGCGAGTTTCACACTGTGTGTGTGAGTGTGTGTGTGTTTTATTTCATCAAAGGAAATTCAACAGGTGCCAATCTACCAGCATTAGGCTAACATAGGACATTATAAAATATACTGCGCCAGAATAGACTTTAGCCTATAGGAAAACCAACATGGAAAACACTTTTCAGACTGGATGGAAAAATCCAGCTTTATGAATGATTGAATGAATGAATGAATAGGGCATTTATATAGCGCTTTCATATATGCCTACACTCAAAGTGCTTTACAATCATATCAGAGAATCTCTCCTCAACCATTAGTGGTTATTAAATCTTAGGAAATCACAGGATCCGGCCAAATGATTGGATACAGAATGATGCACTTAAAATGTATCCAGAGCGTATTTACGGTGAAGAGGGAGACCGAACAGTTACTGTTGTGTTCTCGACCCAGATAGTGTTGACTAGACGAGCACGAAAACACCTCAGAAACACTGCCAGTAGCACGTGTGACGCGTGTAGAATTTTGTTGAAAGCCCAGATAAAAGTAAAAAGCTACTATTTTGTGTTTATCCATGGCAGTTCGACTTCACACACACACGCGCGCGCGCTCTGAGCCAGTGGACGCGCACTGTTATGAATGCACAATGTTTCGATTTTAATCTCGAAACATTTCGACTTTAATCTCGAAACATTCTGACTTTAATCTCGAAACATTCTGACTTTAATCTCGAAACATTCTGACTTTAATCTCGAAACATTTCGACTTTAATCTCGAAACATTCTGACTTTAATCTCGAAACATTTCGACTTTAATCTCGAAACATTTAGACTTTAATCTCGAAATACTAGATTTTTTTTTTTTACTGACTTTTTTTTTTTTTTTTTTAGGTTGCGGTTCAGGGCTTCCGTAGTTTTGGGTGCAGGCATACGTGTTTTTTTGTTTGTTTTTTTTACTTTATTTTTTATAGATTCAACACATATATACAAAAATTAAAGTTAACAAAAACATACGTGTTTTTACTGCCTGATAAATATAAGCAGAACAACGGTTCATACTGTATGCTCATTGTCTCCTAATGAGGACCCGACCCGTGATATATAATTATTAAGTTTGTGATGGCCTATAAACGCACACATCAACACGATAATTCTATTTATTGTTCATGTAAACATTATATTTGGATTTATCAATCGGAATTAATTAAATCCAATTGAAACAAAAGTTGTGCATGTAAACATGTAAGAGATGAAAATATTTAGACCTAGTCTATTCATAAAAATGGGGTCAATTTAAAGGCTTGAAATAAAAATATACTCACAGTAAACTAGTTCCTTCAGTTTGTAATGTGGATCATCCTTCAGATCAGAGAGCAGCTTCACTCCTGATTCTCCTATTTTATTCCCAGACAGATTCAGTACTCTCAGGTGTTTAGGGTTTGATCTCAGAGCTGAAGTCAGAGCAGCACAACCTTCGTCTGTGACGCCACAATCCCTCAACCTGTAGAGAATTGTTAAAGAGGAGGTTCAAACTTTAAGCACAAATTAATGTTTAATCATTAGATTAAGACCTAAAATGTCACAAAACATGACCATATTTTGTCTGTCTTGTGCAAAATCAGTTTAATAAATGACACTATTCACAACATAGGTTAGTTTTACTATGTTACTAAGATCTGTGTGGAGTATCAATTTGTCTGTGTGTCTGTGTGTGTTTAAAAACATTTTACAAAGTGTCAATGCAGAAAGATTAACATAATAATTAGGGATGCACCGAATATTCGGCCACCGAAAATTTTCGGCCGAAAATGGCCCAAAAGTGCATTTTCGGTTTTCGGCCAAAAGACTTTTATCACCGAAACAATACGGCCGAAATGTTGTGATGACGCAAACAGAAACCGCAACCTGCACGTGCTTGTCTGAAGCAACATGTTTGCGGTGCGGACGTATTTCAGTGAATCTGAACCCGCGAGGAGACGGAAGCCTTGTTTATCCACCTATATCTGCTCTAAACAATGCGCGCCGCCATGACAACGACTCCGGATGCGAGCGGGTCAAGTATAAACTGTGGAGACTCGCGCTGCGGAGGTAGGCGAAAGTATGCGCGAGTCTCCTCAGACAGCGCGCGCACCGCTCCAAATGGTCGAGGCGTTTATACTGGACCCGCTCTCCGTCGTACTATTCCTTGAAACGACAGGGGACGACTCAAGTAACTGTCCTCTAACCATTAGGAATCGGTGAGAAGAAGAATAATCATGTAAAACCCAGTAAACTCTGAGATTATTACTTGTGTGACATTACAAAAAAATATATATGGGAACATGTATGTATAGAACTAAATTAATGCTCTCTTAAATATTTTCTACATTCACTAAACATGTTTCGTTAAGTTTCATGTACATTTGTATTAATCATGGACCTTTGTTCATTTAAAAAGGCTTTTTATGCTATTGTATGCTAAATTTTTAAAATGTAAGAAACTAATTTAGACGTGCAAAGGGTGCTGGTGTGATGAGAAGTTCGCACTCGGCTTTGTTTTTATGAGAGAACATTTAATTTTAAAACCTTTCTGCAGGCCATTAGATTATTATTTAATGTACACATGAGTGGGATCAAAAACATTTTACTTTGAATTTTATTTTATACTGTGCATTGTGCTAAATAAATATTTGCATAATTTGTAATTGATTTATTCTTTGAAAATTTTATATTCATTTATGCAATTGCAATGCCTTGATTTTAGTAACGTTTGTACACAGTCATAGCCATAAATGCAATGATACTGATAATTGGCATAATTTCTTTCGGTGTTTCGGTTTTCGGCCTTGGTTTCCTCTTTTTCGGTTTCGGCCAAGAATTTTCATTTCGGTGCATCCCTAATAATAATTAACAGTAAGAATGAATCCGGGATGTTGTTAATTTCTCAGTTCTGACTGTGTTGAGCTCGAATCTGTTTAAGTCAAGAGACTGAAATGTTGATTGTGTGTGAAAGTGTGTATTTCAGTGTGACTCTCAGTCCTGCAGTTTCATGTTATTGAGGACCTATGGAGTTATTGGGTCAGAGTCAAATTGAAAACTAAAAATCTAAAACTAAAGTCTTAAACGAAATCTAAAAGTCTAAACTTGAAACTAAAAGTCTAAGTCAAAAATTAATTTTGTATAAGGATTGGAAATTTTTCTTTAGGATTGGTTTATTTGGTCATTTAAAGGAACACTCCGACTTTTTGGGACTTTAGCCTATTCACCTTACCCCCCAGAGTTAGATAAGTCCATACATACCTTTTTCATCTCCGTGCATGCTGTTTGACGCACCCACCGCTAGCCTAGCTTAGCACAAAGACTGGATGTGAATGGTTGCAGCTTTCATACTAATCCAAATGAGTGACAAAATAACGCAAACGTTTTCCTATTTACATGTTGTGATTTGTATAGTCACAGAGTGTGCAAATATCAAGGCCATATGAGACACAGACATCTTTTAACCGTATAAATAATTCTGAAGGCGAAGCACTGATACTTGGGCAGAGTGACATCACCTGAGACGCACCGTGACGAGGAGCAGAGAGTTCGCTCAGTGTTTGGGTAACAGAGTCAGCAATTACTAACGTTAGATAGAAAAGCATAGTTTATCATGGGTGTTTGCTTTATTGTATGAGCTGTGACAATAAACAGGGGAGACCAGGTACCATGTTTCATTGATTTCCAACCAAAAACGCACCCAGATTTATAAATATCACATGAATAAATAATTATTATTACAGGAATCAATATGTTTTAAATGCAATTTATTAGCTGAACCAAATGTATTCAACAGTATATAATATACAGTATTGCATTACTATAGGATAGAATAAGGGGAAAGTAATAGCACAAATTGTTTTTGCACAATGAACTCACAGCCTATCGTACCCTTTTGCACGCTCAAGTTCGTTATTTCCATGGTTATTTCAAATTTAGGCTACTAGGCGCGCCGCGCGCAGGGTGCAAGTTCAACACGGTGAACGCGCTCTTTTTTTTTCCCAAGCGCGTCCGCACCGCATCAAGATAAAAACATATTCATACCCTAATCATATAATAGTGGCACTAACGTTACATTAGCTCTGGCTAAGGGCACTGTTACAGTAGCTCTGGCTAAGGGCACTGTTACAGTAGGTCATCTAAAAACATGACGGAACACTTACCTCAGCCGCAGGTGATCCACTTGTCCTGTCTGTGCTATAGATGGGATGGCCGTATCCTTCAGCACATTATGGTCCGTGTGGCAAATTCCATTTTTTCAAAATAGTCGTCCATTGAAATGTACCGAGCAAACATAATGTCCCTTGATAATCTATTTAGGTGTGTTTGGATAAATATCCAGAGTAAGTCCATTTCTTCATCCAGTCAGCGTTTTTAGTTGGAATTCTGTGAAACATGGTATTACCTCCCCTGTTTACTGTCGCAGCTATTTACAATAGAGCGAAAACCCATGACTGTAAACTACGCTTTTACTATTTATAAATTGCTGACTCTGTTACCCAAACACTCAGCGAACTCTCCGCTCCTCACCACGGCGTGTCTCAGGTGATGCGGTTATCACTCCGTCAAAGTAGCAGTGCTTCGCCTTCAGAGAATAGTTCCCAGGTTTTATACGGTTAAAAGATGTCTGTGTCTCATTTGACTTTGCTATTTGTACATTCTGTGACTATACAAATCACAACATGTAAATAAGAAAACGTTTGCGTTATTTTGTCACTCATTTGGATTAGTATGAAAGCTGCAACCATTCACATCCAGTCTTTGTGCTAAGCTAGGCTAGCGGTGGGTGCGTCAAACAGACTTATAGCACGCACGGAGATGAAAAAGGTATGTATGGACTTATCTAACTCTGGGGGGTAAGGTGAATAGGCTAAAGTCCCAAAAAGTCGGAGTGTTCCTTTAACCATTTAGGATTTAGGATTGGGCATTTGGTATTTAGGATTGGGCATTTAGGGATTGAGGAGTATATGCAAATAAGGAGGCGTGGCCCAATACTGAAGGCTGGGTTTGAAATGGCTGGTACGCAGAGGCACCTTATGGACAGCAGAGGGCGCGTCAAATTCCCGATCCTAAATGCCCAATCCTAAATCCTAAATGGCTAAATGACCAAATAGCCCAATCCTTATACCAAATTCATTTTCGACTTAGACTTTTAATTTTCAACTTAGACTTTTAGTTTCAAATTTAGACTTTTAGTTTTAAACTTTTAGGACCATATAAGATCATCATAAAGACCAGCTCATTTACATTTACATTTTACATTTTCATTTATTCATTTAGCTGACGCTTTTACCCAAAGCGACTCACATTAGCTGTATATGTCAGAGGTCGCACGCCTCTGGAGCAACTATGGGTTAAGCGTCTTGCTCAAGGACACAATGGTGTCTCACAGTGGATACGAACCCTGGTCTCTTTCACCAAAGGCATGCAACATATCCATTGCACCATCACCACCCCCACCCCCACCATCACCATTTACAGCTCAATCAGCTGAACTCACAGCAGCAGAAAGAGGCTGAACACTTCAAATATACTTTACATTGTGATTCATGTGTGAGAGTCAAATATGATCTTACCCCAGTATCTCCAGTTTACAGTGAGGATTCTGTAGTACATCAGACAGCAGATTCACTGATTCTCCTATTTTATTCCCAGACAGACTCAGTACTCTCAGGTGTTCAGGGTTTGATCTCAGAGCTGAAGTCAGAGCAGCAAAACCTTCATCTGTGACGCCACAATCCCTCAACCTGTAGAGAACGACACATTCTTCACTTTCTCAGTTCAGATCAGATCAGTTTAGCAGTGAATCCATTATTAAAGAGAAAGTTCAAACTTAAAGCACAAATTAATATGTTTGATGGATCATTAGATTGAGATATAAAATGTCACAAAACATGATCATAAAACATCTCAAATATCATTCAATCAGGAAAATAATCTATTTGCACTATATTAAAAGTCAGTCTTATGCAAAATCTGCTTTAATAAATAACTTTTTTCACTACATATTTTAGTTTTACTGAGATCTGTACTATGTAATTGTATGGAGTATCAATTAATGTGTGTGTGAGATTTTATTTAAAAAATGTAAAAACAATACTTTAGAAAGTGTCAATGCAAAAGTTAAACATAATTAACAGTAATGAATCCGGGATGTTCTTCATTTCTCAGTTCTGACCGTGTTGAGCTTGAGTCTGTTTAAGTCAAGAGACTGAAATGTTGATTGTGTGTGAAAGTGTGTATTTCAGTGTGACTCTCAGTCCTGCAGTTTCATGTTATTGAGGATCAGCTCGTGTGTTCATTTACAGCTCAATCAGCTGAACTCACAGCAGCAGAAAGAGGCTGAACACTTCAAATATACTTTACATTGTGATTCATGTGTGAGAGTCAAATATGATCTTACCTCAGTCTCTCCAGTTTACAGTGAGGATTCTGTAGTACATCAGACAGCAGATTCACTGATTCTCCTATTTTATTCAGAGACAGATCCAGTACTCTCAGGTGTTCATGGTTTGATCTCAGAGCTGAAGTCAGAGCAGCAAAACCTTCATCTGTGACGCCACAATCCATCAACCTGTAGAGAACAACAACACACTCTTCACTCTCTCAGTTCAGATCAGATCAGTTTAGCAGTGAATCCATTAAGAGAAAGTTCAAACTTAAAGCACAAATTAATGTTTGATGGATCATAAGATTGAGATCTAAAATGTCACAAAACATGATCATTCAACATCTTAAGTATCATTCAATCAGGAAAAATAATCTATTATTTGCACTATATTAAAAGTCAGTCTTGTGCAAAATCTGCTTTAATAAATGACTCTTTTCCCTACATAGATTAGTTTTACTGAGATCTGTAGTATGTAATATGTATGGAGTATCAATTAGTGTGTGTGTGTGTGTGTGTGTGTGTGTGTGTGTGTGTGTGTGTGATTTTATTTAAAAAATGTAAAAAGAATACTTCAGAAAGTGTCAATGCAAAGGTTAAACATAATTAACAGTAAGAATGAATCCGGGATGTTCTTCATTTCTCAGTTCTGACTGTCTTGAGCTCGAATCTGTTTAAAGTCAAGAGACTGAAATGTTGATTTTGTGTGTGTGTGTATTTCAGTGTGACTCTCAGTCCTGCAGTTTCATGTTATTGAGGATCAGCTCGTGTGTTCAATCATTTACAGCTCAATCAGCTGAACTCACAGCAGCAGAAAGAGGCTGAACACTTCAAATATACTTTACATTGTGATTCATGTGTGAGAGTTAAATATGATCTTACCACAGTTTCTCCAGTTTACAGTGAGGATTCTGTAGTACATCAGACAGCAGATTCACTGATTCTCCTATTTTATTCCCAGACAGATCCAGTTCTCTCAGGTGTTCAGGGTTTGATATCAGAGCTGAAGTCAGAGCAGCAAAACCTTCATCTGTGACGCCACAATCCCTCAACCTGTAGAGAACAACGACACACTCTTCACTCTCTCAGTTCAGATCAGATCAGTTTAGCAGTGAATCCATTATTAAAGAGAAAGTTCAAACTTAAAGCACAAATTAATATGTTTGATGGATCATTAGATTAAGATATAAAATGTCACAAAACATGATCATAAAACATCTCAAATATCATTCAATCAGGAAAATAATCTATTTGCACTATATTAAAAGTCAGTCTTATGCAAAATCTGCTTTAATAAATTACTCTTTTCACTTCATAGATTAGTTTTACTGAGATCTGTACTATGTAATTGTATGGAGTATCAATTAGTGTGTGTGTGAGATTTTATTTTAAAAATTTTAAAACAATACTTCATAAAGTGTCAATGCAAAAAGCTAAACATTATTAACAGTAAGAATGAATCCGGGATGTTCTTCATTTCTCAGTTCTGACTGTGTTGAGCTCGAGTCTGTTTAAGTCAAGAGACTGAAATGTTGATTGTGTGTGCAGTATTTCAGTGTGACTCTCAGTCCTGCAGTTTCATGTTATTGAGGATCAGCTCGTGTGTTCAATCATTTACAGCTCAATCAGCTGAACTCACAGCAGCAGAAAGAGGCTGAACACTTCAAATATACTTTACATTGTGATTCATGTGTGAGAGTTAAATATGATCTTACCACAGTTTCTCCAGTTTACAGTGAGGATTCTGTAGTACATCAGACAGCAGATTCACTGATTCTCCTATTTTATTCTCAGACAGATCCAGTTCTCTCAGGTGTTCAGGGTTTGATCTCAGAGCTGAAGTCAGAGCAGCAAAACCTTCATCTGTGACGCCACAATCCCTCAACCTGTAGAGAACAACGACACACTCTTCACTCTCTCAGTTCAGATCAGATCAGTTTAGCAGTGAATCCATTATTAAAGAGAAAGTTCAAACTTAAAGCACAAATTAATATGTTTGATGGATCATTAGATTAAGATATAAAATGTCACAAAACATGATCATAAAACATCTTAAGTATCATTCAATCAGGAAAAATAATCTATTTGCACTATATTAAAAGTCAGTCTTATGCAAAATCTGCTTTAATAAATTACTCTTTTCACTTCATAGATTAGTTTTACTGAGATCTGTACTATGTAATATGTATGGAGTATCAATTAGTGTGTGTGTGAGATTTTATTTTAAAAATTTTAAAACAATACTTCATAAAGTGTCAATGCAAAAAGTTAAACATTATTAACAGTAAGAATGAATCCGGGATGTTCTTCATTTCTCAGTTCTGACTGTGTTGAGCTCGAGTCTGTTTAAGTCAAGAGACTGAAATGTTGATTGTGTGTGCAGTATTTCAGTGTGACTCTCAGTCCTGCAGTTTCATGTTATTGAGGATCAGCTCGTGTGTTCAATCATTTACAGCTCAATCAGCTGAACTCACAGCAGCAGAAAGAGGCTGAACACTTCAAATATACTTTACATTGTGATTCATGTGTGAGAGTCAAATATGATCTTACCATAGTATCTCCAGTTTACAGTGAGGATTCTGTAGTACATCAGACAGCAGATTCACTGATTCTCCTATTTTATTCAGAGACAGATCCAGTACTCTCAGGTGTTCAGGGTTTGATCTCAGAGCTGAAGTCAGAGCAGCAAAACCTTCATCTGTGACGCCACAATCCATCAACCTGTAGAGAACAACGACACACTCTTCACTCTCTCAGTTCAGATCAGTTTAGCAGTGAATCCATTATTAAAGAGAAAGTTCAAACTTAAAGCACAAATTAATATGTCTGATGGATCATTAAATTAAGATATAAAATGACAAAAACAGTAACATAAAACATCTTAAGTATCATTCAATCAGGAAAAATAATCTCTTATTTGCACTATAATAAAAGTCAGTCTTGTGCAAAATCTGCTATAATAAATGACTCTATTTCTCTGATTCTCATACTGTGGTACACAGAGCAATCACTGAATTAAATATTATTTTACTGGTGGATGAAATGATGAAAAGTTCAATGAAACTGATATCTATCGTGGCTTCAGTCTGGCAAGAGAAGTGCAGATCAGTGTTGCGTTTCCCAAAAGCATTGTTAGCCAAGTATGGTTTCCTGTAGCTCAAACAGTCGAGCGTTATCGCTTACAACGTCAAGGTCATGGGTTCGATTCACAGGGAAAGCAAGAACTGATAAGAATGTAAATGTGTACCTTAAAATGCAATGCAAGTCGTTTAGTATAAAAGCGTCTGCCAAATGCATAAATGTAAATGTAATGTAAAATGGTTGCATGTTCCGTCATTATCAACATAGTTCAACAAGTCAGTGTTTCCTGAAACCATTGTTTTAACAAACAATCTTAAAGTTGTGTGGTTGGAACGACAGCTCGCCTCTCGACCTGTGGTTAGAAGAATAGTTTCTAGTTTTCATGGCATGTGAACTCAATAAATCCTTATCTTCAGCTAAATAAGCAAGCTATTCAGTACAATCTGTAACTTTTATTTAGATAGACATAGAAAAATCACGTCTATTATAAAATCACGTCTAAATTCACAATTACGTCTTTTAGTTTGTCAAGAGATTTAAAGCATTGTTTTTAAGTGTGCGCATGTGAGTACACAAAATACTTTACATTGTGATTCATGTGTGAGAGTCAAATATGATCTTACCACAGTTTCTCCAGTTTACAGTGAGGATTCTGTAGTACATCAGACAGCAGATTCACTGATTCTCCTATTTTATTCTTAGACAGATCCAGTACTCTCAGGTGCTCAGGGTTTGATATCAGAGCTGAAGTCAGAGCAGCAAAACCTTCATCTGTGACGCCACAATCCCACAACCTGTAGAGAACAAAAAAATAACATAATTCAAACACAATCAAATAGCTTTCCAAAAAATGTTAATTCCAATATTTTTAACAATGTTTTTAACAATATTTATGGTAAAATGTTTTTATTTACAACATGTTTTTTAAACAGAGAGAAATGAATGCAATAGTCCATCTCTTGAATGCAATGGCCAATCAGAGGTGTTTCATTTAGTCAGAATCCACTCAGTTTTTGTTCAGTGCTGATTTCTGCATGTTCGCAAATCCTTTCATTAACAAATTTTCCTTTATGCAGTGTAGACATATTTATTTTTTATAATGAAACTTTCTGAGATTGTGAACTGACATGAGTGACAGTTTTTAGTTTTTTCAAAGGAAGTGCTCTTTCTAGGCTATATATAATCCATTGAATAAAAGTTTTGTTTTTCTTGCTGCTGAGAGGACCGATGGCCGATTACAGACGGCATAACGGCACGGTTTAGGAAACAATATAAAATACTGACCACTGAACTCTAGACAACATCTGCAACAATAACAAAGGCATGGTTGATGACGCAGTGATGAGCTGAATGATGGGACTTGCTGTCAAGCTGATGGATCTAATAATGTTTATGGATGAGTGCAAACATTCATGTTTTTTAACATTACAGTGGGATGAAGCAGGTCGCGATTGCTAAAAAGACAGATATCGCATGCGAGTCCCGCGGCTATAAAGGAATAAGGACGTTTAATTCTACTGAACTACCCACGAGTGCTGGATTACTCACACAGGTCAGTTTATTAGACAAATTAAACTCGTGAAGTAATGCAGCGCTGCTTCAATTGGTCTAACATTACACTATCACACTAAACAACATTTAAATGTGTGGTGAAAATTATAATGTTATTCTGCGTGTTAGTTTGCTTGCAATACTAAACTAGCAGTAAGCTAGATCAACATTAGAATAACATACTGACCATTTTCCAACATTTCATCATGTTGAACTACGTTATATAACATTGATTTGTTTTATGTACATTTGCTCACTTGTCTAATAAAGCTGTCAAGTCGTGACTCGTGAAGCTCTGTCAAGTCCTAGTTAGTCGCGGACGTGGAGCTCTCGGCATCTCAAAAACACCATGCTGATATTGATCCTCATTTTAGTTCTCCTTGTTTGTCCCAAAGTCTACTTGCCATGGTCAATGTTTGAAAGAAACAAGAACTGTGTGCCGCTAAACGCTCCGCTCTACGCAGTTATCGATGTCTGTCGCCATGGTTACGTCATGGCTTGGCAATACGAGCAGAAACCGAGGATAGCGCGGATATTGAGTCATTGAAAGGCAACAACTGGGACGGCCACTTATTTAAAAAAATTTCTTTGAAATACAATATCACAAAAGTCTACAAAGATTTTTAAAGTACACAACTGCATGAAATATATCCCCCTGTGCAAGTGATTTTTGGATATTTTATTACACAATTCTTACATATTGTACCTTTAACAGTGAACTGATAGTTCTGATTGACACTTACTGAACTGATCTGGATTCTTTAATCACAGGAAGCAGCTTCTGAAGAACCTTTAGTTTTTCTGTTTTATTTTCTCTTCCAACAAAATCATTAATATCAAACTTGTCCAGCTTCTCCTCTGATGTCAACAACACAAAGACTACAGCTGACCACTGAGATGAAGAGAGTTTGGTTTCCTTTATTCTTCCAGATTTCAGATACTGTTGTATTTCCTCCACTAGTGAACGATCACCCAGTTCATGTAGACAGTGGAACAGATTGATGTATTTCTCTGGAGAGTCAATGGTCCTGATCTTCTTCTTGATGTACTTAACGGTTTCCTCATTACTGTCAGATCTGATTGTCTGCTTCATTAGTTTTTGAAGGAGAATCTGGAGAGACTCCACTGACAGACCCAGAAGGAACCGCAGGAAAAGGTCCAGATGTCCATTTTTACTCAGTAGAGCCTCATTCACAGCTCTCTGATGCAGAGCAGATAATGAAACATGTATAGACATTAGTTGAAACCAGTCCTTAACTTTAGACCACAAACTCTGTTTAGTGATTGAGTCAAACACATTTGTGTTGTTGTTTGTGAAGGAGAGATGCGCATATAGAGCCGCTAGATGTTCCTGAATGCTCAGATGAACAAAGCAGAAGACTTTCCCCTGATACCAGCCAAACTCCTCTCTGAAGATCTGAGTGCACAATCCTGAGTAAACTGATGCTTCTGTCACATCAATGCCACACTCTCTCAGGTCTTCCTCATAGAAGATCACATTGCCTTTCACAAGCTGCTGAAAAGCCAGTTTCCCCAGTTTGAGGATCATGTCTTCATCTGTCACCTGCTTCTCATAGTCCTTCTCATGTTTGATGTTGGTCTGAAGGATCAGGAAGTGTGTGTACATCTGAGTGAGAGTCTTGGGAATCTCTCGTCTCTCTGTTTCGCTCATCATCTTCTCCAGAACAGTGGCTGAGATCCAGCAGAACACTGGGATGTGGCACATGATGTAGAGGCTCCTTGAGGACTTCAGGTGTGTGATGATTGTATCGGCCAGAATGTGATCTCTGACTCTCTTCCTGAAGTATTCCTCCTTCTGTGGATCATTGAAGCCTCGTACCTCTGTCACTCGATGGACACACTCAGACGGGACGAGATCGGCTGCTGCTGGTCTGGAGGTGATCCAGATGAGAGCAGAGGGAAGCAGATTCCCCACAATGAGGTTCGTCAGCAGCACGTCCACTGAGGCTGATTCACTTACATCACACAACCTCACATCACTCTGAAAATCCAGAGACAGGCGACACTCGTCCAGACCATCAAAGATGAACAACACTTTATATTTGACACTGGATATTTCCATTTCTTTTGTTTCAGGGAAAAAGACATGAAGGAGACCTGAAAGACTGAGTGTTTTGTCCTTGATCAGATTGATCTCTCTGAAAGGAAGTGGAAATATGAGCTGGACGTCCTGATTGACTTTCTCTTCAGCCCAGTCCAGGATGAACTTCTGCACAGAGACTGTTTTTCCAATGCCAGCGACTCCCTTCGTCAGCACAGTTCTGATGGGTTTCTCTTGTCCAGGTAAAGGTCTAAAGATGTCATTGCATTTGATCTGTGTGTCATCTGTTGCTGCTCTCCTGGATTGTGTCTCAATCTGTCTCACCTCATGTTCATTACTGATGTCTCCACTCTCACTCTCTGTGATGTAGAGCTCTGTGTAGATCTCATTCAGGACTGTTGGGTTTCCTTGATTTGCTGTTCCTTCATAAAAACACTCAAACTTCTTCATCAGATTTGATCTAAACGTGGTGAGGACTTCATGTCTGTAAAATGTAAATGTGTCATTATTATTAGGCAAGGCAAGGCAAGTTTATTTATATAGCACATTTCATACACAATGGTAATTCAAAATGCTTTACATAGAAGAAATTAAAATATTCAAAAGAAGTAATTAAAACAATTTAGAATAAAAAAATATATAAAAAATAAAATACAGTAAATAATTAAAACAATTTAGAATCAAAATAAAATGAAGTACAGTAACAGTTGGACGAATAGTGGCACATTGCTCATTTAGTAAATGCATAGCTAAACATGCTTAGCGCATCCACAACACCCTCTCTGTGTTGTGGACTTCTCATGAAAAATCTTAGCCTAATTCACAACACATGCATACGCACATGAATTTGTACTTGATCTCATTCTAATGTTAGTGAATTGTGAGCATTATAAATGAGTGTCACAAGCACAAGGATAGTCATTTGCATAAAAGACACCCAAACCATCTCCATATAAGGGCTTTCTGCACAACTTTTCCTCTATATACTTTGAGATTAAATTACATTGCAGGGCTATTATTTATTCATTTTAGAACTAATATAATATAATATAAATAGGGCTGTTAAAATGACCGCATTAAATATGTTTTTTTAGTTTAACACGTCAAAAATATTTAATGCAAATAACGTATCAGTTTTATTGTCATCCTTTGGCTACGCTACAGTTTATGACCACGCTATCATTCATTTAAGTGCTATCAAACCTTTCAAGCGCAATACGACACAAAATAAGAACTTAAATCAGTACGGGGACTCTGTCTGTGTGACACACATACACACGCGCACACACACACACACACACACACACACACACACACACACACACACATACACACACAGGACTCATGCACACAGAATGCCGCTTCAGACAGCACATGGCCACAATGAGTTCTCTTTCGAGCTTGAACGGACAAAAACACACAAAAGTATGCCAAAATGTCAGTTTTGTCGAGTATCCTCATAAGCACAGTCTTACACGAGTTAAAAAGTGTTAAATGAACGCAAAGAGCTGATCAGATCCGGATTGGCGTCATGAGCTTTAGAACTAAAATTAAAGGGATACTCCACATTTTTTGGAAATAGGCTCATTTTACAACTCCCCCAGAGTTAAACAGTCGGCTGAATGCATTTGAAAACAGTGAAACTCAACTGTTTAACTCTGGGGGAGTTGTGAAATGAGCCTATTTCCAAAAAAAGTGGAGTATCCCTTTAATGCAAAACAAAGAACAAAAGACAAAGATAAAACCACTCACAGCTCTTAACAGAATAACATTTGCAGCTTTATAAGAGGAATTAATGAATCACTAAAACAATTATTTTGAATAGCACTGTTAGACAATTCAATTTTATTCTGTTACAAAAATTGTAAATTGAACTAAGTGCTTTCACATGCGTCTCCCTGTGTGAGCAATGTACCCGTTAAAATATCAGATACACATAAAAATGCCTAAACAATCTACTAGAATTTTGTTAATAAAATACTGATCACATTCTAATAATGTCTAATCTAAAAATGCCATACTATTATCATATTTTTATTATCAAGAGTATACCTGAGATCAGTCTGTGTGTCTCCACTCTTAAATTGCATTGGTGGATCCATAGACCAGTCACTCCTCATAGACACACAGCTGGTCTCTGGCCCTGATCTCCTGTGATCAACTGAACTATAACAGAAAGAGTTTCATGTAAATAATTTAAAATACCAAATTTAACAAACTACATATTTGTTTATTATCAAATTATTAAAATAATCAATAAATGATAATTTTTTAGTTATTTAAAATTATAAATTGACCAGTGCTTTCACAGATGTGTCTCTCTGTGCGAGGAACACTATATATGTTAAAATATCTTAGAAAAATAAATACTATTTATATTATTCTGATAATATAAGAAGCTATATAATCTTTTTTTTTTTTTCAAGAAATAGTATACCTGAGATCAGTCTGTGTGTCTCCACTCTTAAATTGCATTGGTGGATCCATAGACCAGTCACTCCTCATAGACACACAGCTGGTCTCTGGCCCTGATCTCCTGTGATCAACTGAACTATAACAGAAAGAGTTTCATGTAAATAATTTAAAATACCAAATTTAACAAACTACATATTTGTTTATTATCAAATTATTAAAATAATCAATAAATGATAATTTTTTAGTTATTTAAAATTATAAATTGACCAGTGCTTTCACAGATGTGTCTCTCTGTGCGAGGAACACTATATATGTTAAAATATCTTAGAAAAATAAATACTATTTATATTATTCTGATAATATAAGAAGCTATATAATCTTTTTTTTTTTTTCAAGAAATAGTATACCTGAGATCAGTCTGTGTGTCTCCACTCTTAAATTGCATTGGTGGATCCATAGACCAGTCACTCCTCATAGACACACAGCTGGGCTCTGGCCCTGATCTCCTGTGATCAACTGAACTATAACAGAGAGAGGTTCATGTTAATAATTTAAAATACCAAATTTAACAAACTACATATTTGTTTATTATCAAATTATAAAAATAATCAATTAATGATCATTTTTTAGTTATTTAAAATTGACCAGTGCTTTCACAGATGTGTCTCTCTGTGCGAGGAACACTATATATGTTAAAATATCTTAGAAAAATAAATACTATTTATATTATTCTGATAATATAAGAAGCTATATAATCTTTTTTTTTTTCAAGAAATAGTATACCTGAGATCAGTCTGTGTGTCTCCACTCTTAAATTGCATTGGTGGATCCATAGACCAGTCACTACTCATAGACACACAGCTGGTCTCTGGCTCTGATCTCCTGTGATCAACTGAACTATAACAGAGAGAGGTTCATGTTAATAATTTAAAATACCAAATTTAACAAACTACATATTTGTTTATTATCAAATTATTAAAATAATCAATTAATGATCATTTTTTAGTTATTTAAAATTGACCAGTGCTTTCACAGATGTGTCTCTCTGTGCGAGGAACACTATATATGTTAAAATATCTTAGAAAAATAAATACTATTTATATTATTCTGATAATATAATAATCTTAATTTAATATAATAATCTTTTTTTTTTTTTCTCAAGAAATAGTATACCTGAGATCAGTCTGTGTGTCTCCACTCTTAAATTGCATTGGTGGATCCATAGACCAGTCACTCCTCATAGACACACAGCTGGGCTCTGGCTCTGATCTCCTCTGATTAACTGAACTATAACAGAGAGAGATTTAATCCGTTATGATGATAATAATTCAATTAAAGGTCTTAACGTTTTTTTTTTTTTTGTTTTTTTTTTTTATCAAATAGCACTTTATGGGGAGGCTAATCTAATTGTTTTTAAATAAAATTAGCAGATTTAGCCTTACAACATCTTCTTGTCATCTTCTGTCATTTAAAAGTGGTTTAATTTATTTATTCAAAGTACCTGCATCCTGGAGAAAAATCTCCATCTCTGGATGTTTGTGTGTCATCCATGATGAATCTGAAGAGTTGAAACAGAATCTGATCTCAAACAACCAATAATTCACAATAATTCAGCTGAATAGATCCTGAGATTGATTCAGAGAAACAGGATCATGAGAAGCAGCATTCAATCAAATACACAATAGTTGCAGAGACGCTGGTCTATTATGGGCACTGGTGTGCCACCCCCTCCTACCAAGTAAAAAGTTTTAAGTTTGACAAAAATCTGACTTTCTTCTGTACAGGTGTACATATTTTACACACTAGAAGGACGGGGAGGGGATCTTTTTGTCTGCCAGCTTAATCGTGTAGGCTAGTTTTATCCTCGGGGCACCGAGAAAGAGCGCCCTTGCTATCTAACTAATGGAGCTCTCTGATATGCTATTAAATCATCACTAAATTTGATCAATAAGCTGATGGAAGCAAGCTGACAGATACACTGAATGATCTTGAGGAAGCAGTCAAAACTATTGTACAACAACGATATTTATCGTACGTCTGTCAACACTGGGCAAGTAGTTGCAGATTTTGTGCAACAGGTTTTACAGACAAGGTTTTTCTTGAAAGTTTGGAGGCCTTCGTAAACAGGAGGCCTTATCATCAAAAAACACTGGGAAGAAGCTTATTGTTTTTAAATAAAGTTCTCAGTTTTAACGTAAAAAATCCTCTTCTTGTCAACCTCTGTCATTTAAATGTGGTTTAATAGAAACAGGATCATGAGCAACAGGATCATGAGAAGCTGTAAACAACACTGGTCCAGAAGCACTTCCTTTTTCAGTTTTTTAACACTAGGCCTACATAGAAGCTGGAATAAAATACGACCAACAGAAAATATAAAACTGAATAAAAAAGTAAAAAAAAACATCTTTAAGATGTTTTCTTTACATGTGAAATAAAGAAAACAGTTACAAACTGAAACAGGAAGTGTTTCTGGACCAGTGTTGTTTACATCTTGCAAAATGGTCTACACAAAAGCAAAAAAAATAATCATCAGACAACACGACACTGCAACGCCAGGGAAACCACATAAAAATAAAAAAAAAACCACATGAAAAATATCAAATTCATGTCAAAGAAATAATGCTTTCTTCATGGAAAATGTGAATGTGGAAGTCATCTGTAAAGCGTCTCGAGACACTCACCTTGATCAACATGTAATTACATATTCACAAATATTCCTTTTCCATCAAGTAAGTTAGCTGCAAGCACATTTTAAATTTTCTCATTAAACACTTTAATACTCCGTGTTGTAAAGAACTGACTGCGACCGTTCAAACGGCGGATCAAATCTGAACATTTACTTTCACTTTTTATTTGTGTGTTTTGTGACGAGTGATGATGACGTCATGGCACGTTGCATTGCACTGGCACTGCACATTTTTAGTTTTCCCTGAACAACTGATCACAGTCATTCACCTTGTCGTATAATGTTAAAATATAGACTACAACAGAGCAAACTAAAATTAGTTGAGCATGAGATCACTTTGTTGAGGCAACGAGTTTAATGCGTAAACAAACTTGAATGGCCATCAGTCAGATAGATGACAGAAAGCATAGACCTTGTGCAACAGGTTTTTCAGCAAAGGTTTTATGTTGGAAGTTTGGAGGCCTTAAAAAATAATGTATCACATATCCCCCCTTGGCCTCTTCAAACTTTTTTTTTTTTTTTTTTTTGAGAACATTGTACCATATCGCCACCTATTGGACTGTAGTGAAATCATGATTTAAATTTCTACATAGCCTTTTTCTCGTGTGTCTGTTTTGTGAGTCTGTTTCTTCTTTTATTTTATTTTCATATTGGGATCCCCTTAAATTAAACATTCCAACCTACAGGGACTAGCTATATCCCTCGTAGTTTCGTTTTCATTATATCGATCTAGGCTACACGTACGTCTACCCTCCCTGACTAAGGTGTTTACTGTAGCTTTAAGAGATCGGGTTTGCTTAAACAGCTGATGCAGTGCTATGATGCAGTGATGATGAAACGGTGACTCGCAAAAGACTTCTTGATTTAGTTTAGTGTATAGTGGGCATTATGCATTAAATGATATTGCATGTGCCATAAAGAACACCCATACAAGCACAGCTACCGCAGCATGCTGCAGGGATGCGTCTGAAGAACATGATCAGTTCAGCAGATCAAATCACACTGACCCTCGGACTGTCCCGTGAGGAAATGCCTACTGCAGCACTGGATTTACAGAGGAAAACATGCTGAGACATGCTTTGGATTCGCTCAATGTCATCTATTTCACTTTGCGCGATTTCAGCAACTGAAAAACGAAATTAGGTCATAAAAGGTACGTTTTTATTTTTATAACATCACGAATTCATTCAGTAGCTATCTATAGGCTATATGCATAAATAGGATGAGAACGATGCAAATATATTTTTAAATGTTCTAGAAATTGCAAGTGTTTGCAATTTTAATTGTCATTTGTTAGCATCTCCTTTACAAATAACAACAACAAAAACAAAAAACAAAAACAAAAAAAAAACATTTAGCCAAGGTTAGTAATGTATTGGTGCAATGGTAATGTGACGTCATTCGGTATCTCCAATACTGCGTCATAACTCCTTTCTTATATCTGATGTATGCTTATTCTTTTATATTTTCCAGTTTTCTGCCACAAAAAAATGTAGTTAAGAAAACTGCTAAAACTTCAGCATGATGACATGTTTTCACTCTGACTTTAGATGCATTCAACATTTAATTCCCAACTGTAAGTGTGCATGCATAATGTAGGCTATTTAACTTATGGGATAGGCTTATCAAAGAAACTATCTTTAAAAAAAAAAAAAAAAAAAAAAAAAAAACAAGTTTTAAAAGAGTTTTTGAAAGTATGTGTTTTATGTTTACAATTGTAACTAATGTGACTTTTAACAGTAAAAAATCACTCAGTGGCTCAATAAGATTGCAAAGTTGCTTGCAATAGCATATAGGCCTTATATATATATATATATATATATATATATATATATATATATATATATAGAGAGAGAGAGAGAGAGAGAGAGAGAGAGAGAGAGAGAGAGAGAAAAGGGGAAAGATACAATGCTTTCAATTTTACAAAATGAGGTACCTTATTTTAGTGTTACATAATAACAGTAAATTACGCATAATTACATGTACCCTAAACCCAACCCTATTCCTAACCTTATAGTAAGTACATGCTGTTAAATAATATTACTCAGTAGCCTACTTAAGTGTATATTACACTGTAAAAAAGGATCCCTTATAAAAGTTCAACCCAATATTACAATCTGTTATTTATTCAAATTAGAATTGATCTTGTTCTGAGATCTGAACTTTGATTTAGGCTATAGTTGTTTAACTCTGTGTAAAATACATACATAGGCTACATTTTTAGATCCTTCAAACTCAAACGTTTGGTCACAGACAAAAAATGATGTATTTGTATGTATTATATAGCCTATGTGCTTATTATTTTTATAGTGTTCTGTATAATATAATAATACATTATTAATGTATTATATAATAATAATAATATAATTTCTTCTTATCATAGTGTTCCTTTACGAAGTGTATATAATGTATATAATATTATGTAGGACTAGTTTTCTGCCCATATCAAGTGCATAACACTAGACTTGAGGACTTCAACTCCCAGCATTCATGGCGCGCTCAGTCAGAGTCAAAAATCCGCAGATAACCGCAGCCTTCATATAGACGCTCTTAAGAAGGCGTTATCATAGATGATGCTGTTTTATGACATTATACTACTTTCTTTCTTCCAGAATCCTTATTTTAAAACACTGCGACAAAGCGTGATATCTCTATGGGACAACCCGTTGTCTGAACACCGCGAGCCGTTTATTAAACCGCATCAATACCACTCAGGACGAGGAGGAGGAGGAGAAGGCGGGTCCAAGCGCAAAACACGGCCACACTGCACAGGATGGGATGATTCTTTGAGACTGAGACCAAAAGGGTCGGAGTAACGTTAAATCAATGAATGCTCAATGCGGAGGATTTTCTCCGGGAGATAACGGTAACTTACAGCATTAGCGTAAATGCTCCATGCGGAGGGATCGATGAATGTCTGCGCACGCGAATAACGGCAGTTTGGCTGAAAAGCAATGGCAACCATTCACGACCCGTGGTAAGTTAAGATTAATTAGTTTAGTGGCCGGCTTGTTGTTGTTTATGACTTGGACGAGACCGCTAACTATTCAAAACTACACTATACCATAGTCTTTTGTTATTAATAACAAATTCAACATGATAATTAACTAGTTAGGCGGTCTAAATGTGTTATTCCTATCAATACAGTAAATTGGTAGCATGTGAATTGTCACTAGATAGTGTGCATAGTATTATGCCCCACCCTTGCACACAAATACATGATACAGTCATTGACCCACAGGGACTTTCATTGGTTGCCTGACAACAGGTCAAGATCTAAAACTAGACATACAGTACAGTATGTGTCACTCACTTGTGTTCTTTTACTGCAGTAAAATGTCATAATCTGTCAGCTGGGCAAAATACAAATCCCTTCAAGTTCTGGCTGTTAGAAGGGTATTTGGATACAGCTCAAACTTGATAGCCCCTAATAGGTGTAATTTGATTTTTAACTGCAGAGGTGACGTGGCAGGATCCAGGCATTTCTATTAGGGATTGTTTTTGTGCATGAAAATATTATCAGTCTAAGCCATAAAAAAGCACCCAAGAAGACAAAGCCTTGCTTCTCCTTTGGATGAACAGA